GAACTTGTAAGGAACAAGATAACTTTCCTGCAACACCGTACAGTGTGCCTATTATCGTTGAAAAATACAGAAGCTTTTCTTCAAATGACAATGGTATTGTTTAGTACTTGCAATTCTTACGATTTCATCGAAGAATATAAAATAAAGTAATGTCGTTTCCATTGCAAACCACCACTTTTACTCGTGAAGCCTACAACCTAAAAGGAATATTAACACTTTCGGTGCTATGACGATGTATACACGTTTCACGAATAGTAGTAGTGCCATAAAGTGTAGAATATTCTACGCACACGCGATTCATTCGTCAAAAGTATTGCCGCATCGAAGAGGTTAGGGGATATTGATTTCTATGTATTTTATATAATTGTCGAAGGCTATCTTCTCCAAAGACTTGAGAACTCCTCGTTATAGCCAGCCCAAGGGCCCTCTGATGGTCCTTGGAGGATACCTCCGCATGGGTCCTGGTAAGTCTCTAGAGGTGGATCTGCTCTAAGTTCTACGTATGTTTCTTTGGTGGCGTTCTTCCCAAGATACTGCTTAGTGCCGATTGGGGACCTGTCGAAGAGATCTCAGAGTTTCTATGAGCACGTACCGAACGTTACCAAGGTACCCTAGAAAGCCCAAATGGGATCAGTTCCAAATGCTTGAAAGGTTTACACCTCTAAACTATAGATGCCGATGAGCCCTTGGAGGGGTCATCTAAAGATTTTCTTCCTTTAAGTTTCTTCTCATCAAATACTACCACAGTATCACCATGAAATGCATTATATGTACTATAGATACATATATTACAATTTTCACATTACTTTGTCGAGCTACAGAACATATTAAATATGGGACACGTGCATTACGATCCATTAATCTTCAATAACGGTGACATTGTGCAAAGTTGTCGTCTGGAATGTATTATTTCGCCGCGGTACATCGACTGCAATAACACGTTCGTCCCATTCAAGTGGGATTTTCAAAATGAATTCCTTGGACCCGGTCACGACGGTAACCCAAGATTTCGCAACCTGGTCTCGATAGAATATTCCGTTCACGTGTACACTATGCACCGTATGCTTTTTCGCGAAAATAGTACACGGTAAAACGTCGTTCCTCCAGCTGGAACCTGAATGTCTAACAACGGCGTAGCGACTGCGCGTGTTTCCGGAAAATTAAATCACTCTGATAATGCACGGTATCCCTTACTCTTGTCGCCCGTAACGAACATTCCACCAATTCTCGAACCGGAATAATCGTTTCGGGTCTGATAGAGCATTAGCGAAAGACGACCGAGAAATTACGCTCCTGTATCGTGGCTGTAATATCGACTGTATGTATTCCGGTCGTGTACTGTGCAAACTGTATTACATGTCTATTCTACATTCTCTAATTTTCGGAGTGAGAGCATAGCAGATGGGATCTCCTCGTGCTTCTATAAATCGTAAGTAGAAAATTCCAAGGAAATTCTTGTAGAAAATTCGTGACAGGTACGGTAGAATTAAATAGTGTCGTGTTTTAACCCTTGGTCTGCAAGCGAATCGGAAGCAGGACGTTCTTATTACTAATTTAGAAAACATCCAATTGTTTGTATCAATTTTATAATATGTAAAAACAGTAGTTATGGCAGAACAAGCATATGATAGACATTGATGGATGCAAAGCGGTGACAGATTTAATAATGGTCGTTTACAACTCTCCTGTTACAATGAAAAATAAACGTCTAAAAGTGCTCTTCGCAGTCAAAGGGTTGAGTAAAATAAGCTTAAAGTATCCGTTTACTGGGGTATTATTTACCTGAAACGTTGCGTAAACGATTACCAATTTGGGATGTATCAGCGCGTCGTTACGCCAATGCTTGTGCTGCACACGCTCGAAATTCCGATCAGGAATTTCTGGAACGCGAATTCCGCCACGATTTCTCGCGATGTAATCCGCCTACCCATGAAATATGTATGTCGCGGATAGTCCGTGCATAGACGATCGAATTAACCAGAGGATCATTTCCCTAGATATTTCACGCTTCTGATCTGTTACGGACTCCCAATCGACGACGGTCTACGAAAGAAACGCGTGGTTGGCGACAGAGGGCCGTACGAAATCGGGTGTCTTGTTACAACGATACCTTCCACATTCTCATTTGCGAGTCACTTCATCGTGGAATATGAATATTCCGTCCTAATATAAAAAAGATTTATATAAAGGTCTTGTCGCAACTGACCTAGCTATCGAGGTGCAGTCTATATCAGTGCATCACCAATACCTGTTTTTCTCGTATGTACATGCATTACTAATGCTTGACATCGCATATTGCGATCCAGGTTACATTTGCATACAGTTTCATACTAATCGATGAATCATTAACAATGATTCATGTCCTTTCTCCGTCCAGGAACGTGCTAAAAGTTTAGAATCACGACCACACAGGATACAATTTTTAAACCTCTCTGCATTATTCCAATGTAAACGCATAATTTTTCAAAAAAAAAGTACATACCCTCAGTTTCAATATCGAACGGTCATTTCGTTTTACGTTCCATTTCGGGACACGCCTTCAGGTCGATCTTTGCATTCGAAGAATTTCCATACGGAATAATTCCGTTCACGATCGAATATGTCTAGAGATGGATCACGCTCTCTGTAGTTTGGTCGCAACGTATTCCCGATGTACGTAACACGTCGAGAGAACGTGAGATCATCCGCGGTGGCATCCACACCCACGCAAGGCGACCAGTGACGTCACTTGCGGCTTGCATCGGGCGGCAAGCGGTCGGCTCCAGCAGAAATGTCCCAGCTCCGATTGGGTCGCTTCTGGTTTTCTCCTCGTCACACACCATTTACGCCCCCCTCGGTCCATTGCCTGTGTTACCACGGCACACTTCGGATCGAGCCTGGTTTTCGACGTGTTCTCGCCGTGGAATATCCGTGAATTTTCGCGCGAAAGTGATATTCTTCGGACCGGAAGTTTCCCCCACCGCCGTGGGTTATATATCGAACTAGGCCGCCGATGCAACGGAAAGATAACGGGTGGGTTCAATTTCATCGTGCTTCCTCCTTCCTTCCCCCTCCCGAAAACTTTACGATCGGTACACGTGTCCCGAAGCGTCAAATTTTTTGCGAGCTTCCGCTTTTACCAGAGGAAAATCGTGGACTGGGAAACCCATTCCCCTTCCCCTTAATCGATTTTTACGAGTGAATCCACCGACGCGTGTGGACTATTTTCGTATCGGGGACATACAGGCTCTGTATCTTTTGAATTATGCTATCCGTAGCCGTTCCTTGATATTATCGACGCGTTTGGAAACCTGCAACGGGATTAATTTTACTGTATATTTCACGATAATCGCGGGGAAACTGTGTGTAAGAGCTGCGAAATCGGTATTGTTTCGGGCGTCTCCTCCGTTTGTCCAGTGTTATGCCAGCTAGCTTTTGTTATGCAGATCGTCTCGAAGTTTCGTTCGCAACGGGGCATAGCGCCTTTCGTTACAAGAATATTATTCGGTTCCGTGGCCGGATCCCGAAAAGAGTAACGACCTTACGTTGCACACCGCCGTGATCAGGGTGGGGCAGTTTAACGCGGCGGCACGTTTTGGATGTTTCTCTTTGTGAACGGTATATCGTCCGTGCGTGAGAGCCCTCTCTTTGTCCACGTTTGATATAGAGGACCGCCGAAAACTGTGTCCGCGAGAAGAGACGTAATAACGCACCGCGGTCCATTAACGGATCATCCGAAATACGGTCTTGGAAATGGTGGTTCTCGTGTCAATTATCGTGTAGGTTTTATGCGTTATTATCAATAAGATGGTGGATTCGCATGTTTGTTCTTGTGAATAGGTATCTGCAATATGTGATTGTAAATATTAATGATGAAATATTAAGCCAAGAGGTAATCGTAGGCGTAAAAAGAAATCGAAAATGTGGATCAAAATTTAGTATGGAGTTTCGTTTTTGAAAAAATTGACTTTGAAATCTATCCGATCTATTCATATTTGCAGTAAAAGGAATTGGTGAGTAATGAACGGATTATAGTTAACCAAGTTCTATTCAATAATTTTTTTTAATAATTAAAACCAGATTCAGAGAACGTTTATGTTAGATATTCGACTTGTTTTTACGTGTAGTATTTTTTGCTCCGTGATTGTACTCGTACCAGGAATTTTACCACATGTTGTAGTGTATCTGTAAATGTTCTCGGTTGAGCTTATAATCTGTTGATGTTATACATACATACGTGGGCTGAAGCATTCGATCCGATAGTGGGTTACGTGCCTGTACCGTGTTATCGACACTGTCTATAATCCGGAACTTTCCTTCTCGTTGTTTCATTTCCAGTTCCAGTTATTTGCATTCGACTGTTTTATCCAGGCAACTACAAATCGTTACTATTATTTCACAAATGACCAGCAAACATCGTACTTGCCCACCTAAATATTTTCTAATAAACGTACGAAACAAAGTGAATGGCATTCAACGCAAAACAAATATTACTCCAAATTACTAAAAATTATTTCCATAAGACAGTATGCAATTCTTTCTTTACAAACACCATGCAGTGTACATATACTGTATTAACCCTTTATCTAGTGATGTAATAGGGTTGTACCATTATTATTTCTATTATATGTAGACTTACGTTTATTATGTCATTATTTTCCATTCGTCTAAAGACTTCACAAATATCAAAGTTATTTCCTCCATTTTATCAAACTTGACTTTTTTATAAATTAATCTTCATTAAACGGGATCAGGCACCGTCATTTATTCACAGAATTCTACACGGGCGAAAAACAGAACGTTCAACAAAACCTCGAACACCGACGAATGTCCCAGCGATCGAACGTTGATCTCCGTGGTGATTTTAAAACGATTATCGACAGCTTTTAATTCAATTCCGTCGTAGCGAGCAATCTCTCGTCTTCGATTAATCCTGTGTCTCTCGGTTCTGTTGACGCAGGTAGTCGACACCGAGGCGTTGCCAAGGTCACGAGGGAGGAGCTGAGGTCATCGCTGCACCTATGTTGTGCGGCGAACTCCTGAACGGTGGCTTCGTCAGTACCGGAGCGGTACCGGTGGTTCCCTACGGTCTCTTAGGATTCTGGTTACCCGGCTGCCTACGTGCCACCAGTCCGACTTCGTTGAACTCGTCTTACCTGACCCTGTTGGCCGAACTTCTGGCCACGGGCCACCCGGAGCTTCGGGACGAGCTGATGGACCTGGCGAAGAAGAACGATCAGGCGCCCACCGACGGCGGTGTGGTCGACCTTGCCCTCGACTTGTACGCCGACGACATGGACGAGAGCGTCTTCCTCGGTGAGTGCCCATTATTTTTTTCCTTTGCAACAAGACAAAAGGTCATTCTAGATGGAAAAATAAGTCAATAATGTAGATACAAATTTTTCATAGAATATCACTTTTGCTATAAATCGAATATAAGAGACTTGGCTAACGCGTCTGTTCAATAGATTCCGTTTCTACTTAATACGTTCTATAAATTCCAAGATTTTACGAGAATTTTAGGCTTCAACTCCGAGTACACGTCCATTATAACGAAATCCTCTGTTCAAACGCTTGAAAAATTAAACACAGCGGCAAGTCTACAAAAGAATAAAGTTTACTTCGTTGCTGTAACTGGGTTCCACATAGAAATCTATTTGCCGCGGACAAGCGTTCAGCGTGTAATTAACATTTTTAGGTCAAGGGGAGAGGAGTCCCTTTCATCCCCCGGGGGCCGGTTAAAGGCGCGCATTTAAATCGTGCGCTTTGAATATAAAAAACAGGGATATTTCCGTGTTCTTACATCGAATCGATACCGAGCAGAGTACTCATTCTCTCTGTGATACTTTTTAACGGGCACATCTCCATCGGTTCCGGGTGTATATGCTACACTACCGTCCAGAAGTATCCGGATACTTATACGATCATGCAGTTGTGAGAAATATTCTATTAATATTTATAAATATTTTTTATACGCACTGGGTTTATTCATTCTGTTCGCTTATACTGATACTCTATACTGCAGTAAGATGTATACATTCGGACACACCAAGCAGTAAGTGTTTATGTGTCTGCTACATTAAGAAATTTGGGTATGTTGCCAAATGGCAATACGATGCACTTAAGGGTTAACAGTGCAAGAGATTGCGAACTCGTGGTCTAAGGAAGAATGAACGATGGGAGAGTCTGGTACTGTTGTACAAGTAGCCAAAGAAAGTTATTCAATTCGGTCAGTAGTAGCAGAAATGATAGTCTTATTTATTGAAAGATAGTAACATTCTAATGTGGACCAATGTAATATGTCCGGTAGAGTTGGGCGTTATTAAAAAAAAATATTTTTAAATGATTATTTCAATAATATATCATCTTCTTGGGTTGGAAGTTATTCTAAAATAATTGCACATTAGTTTATTTGAACAGATAAGTTATTTTTGTTGGAATTATTTCATTATTTGGCTATCATTTGAAATAATTTTTTATTTTATTTCGTATTTGAATAAATGTTTCCTCAAAATATATCACAAACAATTTAGTTTTCTATTATGCCAAGCTTGTCAGAAATACAGATGTCCTTACTCATACGTATTATTCAAGGGCAACCAGACAAAACATATAGTGTAAATAGTACTCATTGCAAGGAAACAAGTGAAGCAGTACAAGCAGTATTAAAGGGAATAATAATACAAGATATAGTATTTAAAACCTCTAATTATTTGTTATTTTAAATAATTTTTGAAGATGATTTATTCGATCTGGACATAAAATAGCGTTGCTTTTCATAATTTATTCTTCCAATAAAATTAAGGATAGAGTTCAAATGAATAAAATTCTTCTTAATCATTTGTTATCTTTATTTCAAATAAAACTGCTCAGGTCTGGTGTACGGACTCTTTTGGTCGGTAGTATGCATCGGATGTCGTTTCTACCGGACAATCGACCTCGTTTATCCGATCCGCTCTATATACGACGCCTCGCAGGGAGCGGGGGCGGGGCTCCGTTGTCTAATGGGTTTATTTCGAAATTGTGTGCTCCGTAGCTACGCGAGTCGCCGTATTTCGCGTTAACGGGCAATAATACGGAGTGTGTCGTGACGACATCGCGAAAGTAGCCGCTCGTTGGCAAAAGTGAGCGGCGAGGAGCGGGTATCGCGATTGCGTTCTCGGATAAATATTCCCGGTCGAAGCTCGTAGATCCGTAATGTTGTTCCCCTCCCTGTTCCTAGTGCAGGCACTTGGCACGATTCGTAGACGAGCAAACAACCGTCGTGGTTCGGTTGACAAATTCCGGGATCGGGGTCGCATATTAAACCTCGCCAAGAAGAAAGAAATGTTTTCTTCTCTCGCGATTAAATGTATGTACGCGTCGTTCCACCAACCATTCCAAATCGTAGACGGTTACATATCACGACGGGTACGTTTTATAAAGCGAAGTCTCGAGACATATTCGCCTCCATCATTTTCGCGACAAAACGTCCACGATGTTCTTAGACGCGGGACCCCCAAACGATCCCTTTCTTTCCGTCCATCGACTATTCGGCCCCCGCGACCAGGAGTCTGGCCGTCGTCCAAACTCTTTTCTTCCGTTCCGTCTGTCTTTCTCCCCTTTAATTCTTTCCTTTCCACCGGGTATTCCGGAGCCGCGAGAACTCGGTGCCTCTCTACTAAATAATGGGCGAACGTTAACAATCTTTGCAGCTGTTTATCAAGATTTAGACCCCCAACTGGTCGTTACGGGAACGTGCCGCCGCCGCGTACCCTCTTTCCGTCCGACGGACGGGAATTTAAGGGTGTCCTATATTAACAGGAAGGCTCTTCCACGGGCCAGACGGACCGTGATTCTTGTCGGGGCTTCCGCTTCATTACGGCTGTCGTCATACTGCGAGTTTTAATTCCGTCGATTCGTCTTCGAGTTACTTGTTCTGTCCACGACTATCGTACCTTCAACGTGGTCGTCGATAGGAACCGCCTGTGGGATCTGTGGAACGTTTGAGAACCACAGGTCAATCTGGCAAAAGGTGCTAGTCCTATGGTTCTTATGTAATCTTATGTTAGTATTAATAGGTTATGTTTCATCTTGATTTATCGTCGGAAAATATAGTTTTAAGAAAGTTACCATATTTATCAAAATATTGCGACTATAGACAGTACTAATTATTGCTAAAATCTGAATGCAAGATGCAAATGCAAAAATTGGACTGGTATCATCTGTGTTTTACTTATCTTTCCGAGTAAATGATAAGTTATTCATGAACAGACCCCTGAAGTCTGTATTTTTCAAGCCTCTTTATTGAAGTACAATGAGCTCATACGTACGGTGACTGCCGAAAGTTTCCGGCCAAACTGTAATTTCACCGTATTTTTTGTCATAACTTCACCAGGTCCGTATTTCTTAGAAACAAAAGAACATATTATTTTTGTGCAAGAAAATTTGTAATATCACCAAATCTGAAGAAGCAATGTATCCTCAATATGGGTATATCAAGAGTTTATTCTTATTATATATTTGTAAAAAGATATGTTGAAATTACAGTTTGGCTGGACACTTTTAACAGCCACTCTATGTTTGCTGCACAGAAACTGTTTCTGTCGTCCTCCCCTATCACTCCTTTCTCTATTACCCTGTATTTCTGAAGCACCCTGTATACAAGTTCAGATTTCATCGCTGGGAGCAACAAGTTAAGAGTTGCAAACAAAATTTTTTCCCCTGTCGCAGGATTTATGTTCCTATTTCCATACAGAGACATTGCACTGATAACTTTTCCGGCTGGACTCTCCAGAAGCATTAAGCTTTTCCAGAGACAGGCCGCTTCCTTTCGGTTATCCTTCTTCCCCGACCAAGCGCCCCAGTGTTATCCAGCGGTTTGGTTTTCCTTCTGCCTCGAACTCGACCGGGATCTTAATAAATCGTTTCGTGACTCTATCCTATTTCGTGGCAGGACCACCGAGAGAGAGAAAAATGGAGTATCGCCGTGGATCCTTCGAGATCCCTTAGAAATTGTCGGACACCGGTCTCAGCCGAGCAGGACACTTTTAATCCGAGGATAATTTACCCTTATCGTCGCGCCATCGTTGTAAATTCATGGGAGGCAGATTATCGTCGAACGGAATAAAAGCAGCTGCGGTCGAACAACTAATTTCGAATACGTCGATAATTCTCTATAGATAAATGACTAGGTCTCTACCACCTAATCCACTAATGTTTAAAATTGAATGCTGAAAGGTAGTCTTAATAACAATCCTTTAAGATATTTTAGCGCGAAATTGCGTTTTTGCCATAAAAAAACTTACGGGGGTCACGGAATGTTAAATCCCGCGGTTGTCAGTGGGTCAACAGAATTCTTAACTCTTACTTTCAAATCCCGTAAAAATTTCATTCACCTGAACGCGTTATCATCCACCCTTTTGCCCCCACCCCTGACGGAGCGACTAATCGAGCAACGCGTGAGACGCAAGTTTTCCGGGTTAATTTCCAGGAAGTATCTCGGAAGCATCGATCCCGGTTTCTAAGCGTCGCGCACCAGGTACGAGGACGCCGTCGCATAATTCACGAGAGCTAAGATCGTGGCCCATTATGGCGAGCGATCGAAGCCCCCTCGCGGCCGCGCTGCTGCGTTAGACGCCCCTAATTGGAATATTATTCCCATCCGTCTTATTCGACGGAATAATGCATCGGTCCCGGGCAGGGCGGGGGCTCAAAGCTGGAAAGTGGATTTTCGCGGGTTGGGCTTGCAGAGCCACTTGTCCTCCCGCTGCAAAATGGATGCGTGTTTGATGACAGAACTTGGCGCGCCGCTGGCATCGCTGCTGCTGCGCGGAAACCGACTAAAACTTCGCGAAATTGTATCGAACTCGGGGGGACGCGGGCCCCGAGCTACTTTTATCGGTCATAGTGCTCGGCCTTCCTCCTTAACGGCGGCCTCTCGGCACAAAGGGAGGCGAGAAAACGGTGCCTGGCTAAAAATAATTCTCGTTCGGAGTCCTCTCGCGATATTACGTTTGCCCGGGACGAAATTGCCGAATGGGAACAAGAGAAGGACGGCTGTTAGTGCCTGGCAAAGGGTGTTTGTCGAGTCGAACTGAATATTGCAGAGTCGACGCCGTCTGAAGTGTTCGTTCGGCCAACAAAATGTTTCCGAGCATTGATCTTGGAACAACAATAATACACGAAGAGCGCAGAGGACGAAACGTGATGGAGCCATTTTTGTTGACTTTTCGGATTTTCGTGTCGTCTGGTATCGAAAACGGGGCACTTTAATAGGATATATGCAGTTGAGGAGGGGGACCTGTCTGGTCCAAAAATATGAGCTTTTTAAAATT